GGCTGGTTAAAACCAGTATTGTTTTTAAGAAAAGTATATAGACTTTATTATCATAAAGACAAAAAATCTTTTGAGAACATCTGTTTTTTGGATTGGCAAAAGGATCAGTGAAAAGAGTAAAAATCATAGAAAGCTATTGCTTATAAATTATTTTATATATTATAAAATATATATTAATTTTTTATTATTAATTTTATTTTATTTTTAATTTAATTTTTTTTTTTAAAGTATATCAGTGATAATTGTCTGGCTGGATATTTATTTCTCATAATGATGTTTATATAGGACTATATTATAATGTATTGGTTATTAGTTATACCTAACACTTATTAGAATTGCTCCAAATAATAACATTTGCTGTAGCTTGTTTCTAACTATATTAGATATAGAGACTAATCTACTAAACAAAGATAATTCTTTGTTGAACCAATAGCATGCATTTTCACTAGTAATCAAACAGCTTTATTTCTAACTGGAAGAAATTAAGGGGAAGTTGAAAGGGGGAACTAGGGGTAATATCTATGGCAAATAAAGCTATATAATTACTGCTTGCTCCATCGGAGATAAATTCCTTTACTACCACTTGCAGCTGGGCTAATCATTTAATTTCTTATCTGTCCAATAATATCCAAGAACGTTTAAGGTACTTATAACTGATGCTTATTGCCTGAACACCAATTTACATATTGCAAGAAACAGGACTTATAGTCAGAAGCCTTTTCTGGATAAGTATCACCAGACTAGTTTATTACTAGATTGGGATGAGACTAGGGCAGGGATCTGTGTGAAAGATGCCGGATATTAGGGGAAGGATCACCAAACCTACTCGTCGAAAGCGGACACCTCATATACCTTGTAACTTCAAGAAATCATTGTAACATCAACTAGATAATTGTTGTGCCATGACATCTTTTCTAGAAATTACAATCTCAACATTTACTGAATCAGCATGTAAAATAGTTTCTTATGAGAAACAGTACTTTTAACAGGTTATGGCATCAGATATTATATTAATTCTATTCAACTGCTCTTATATGGGGTTGAATTGGTATCTTGTAATTTGACTTGTGAAGTGTTAACTACTATACTATGGACCTACAGATCTTATTATTAATTTTATATTTAAATATTTTTATATTAAAATTAATATATTATAATACTATTAGTATTATAATTATATGTTAAGTTTTATTTTTAATTAAAAATATATTAAAAAAAAACCAAAAAAAGAAATTGGAAATAGTATCTATATTAGTAAATAAAACTTTATAAAAAAATTTTTTTAGTCTTGATTACCTGTAAATAAGTATATTATTTAATTTTATTTCTTTTAAAGTTATTCAAGAATATTTAAGAAACTTATTTTACAAACTTATTATTATGATTCTGAAAATTGGAATCAAACAGAATCACAGGGAATCGCATAAGGTTCAGAACACTATTAAAAATGATGATAGAATATATCCCACCTATTAAATTTAATATAAACTTAAGAATCGAATACAGAATCAAAGAGAATTGTTAAAGTTATTACTTATTATCTATAAATTATTTTAATTATTAGTATTTATTATTGTTTTAATTATCTTTTTAAAATATGTAATTGTTAAAATAATTTATTACTGAATTGAAATAAAAATTTTTTAATAATTTATAAAGAGAAAAATTAGATATTACAAAAAAATAAACATTAAATTATCTTACTGAAAATGAATATTTTATATATATTACAACTTTTGATAATTATTGTAATATTAATCAAATAATTATTGTATTATAATATTTTTTAAAAATCTTAATTTCAATATTTATTAAATAAGTGTATGATTGGTTTTTTATAAAAACTAGTATTTAATAAGTTATAATATTATATATCTATTAATTCTATTTAATTATATTTATTAAGATTAAATTGATATCTTGTGATTTGATTTATAGAGTATTAATTACTATATTATAGATTTATAGATATTTTATAATTTGAATTAATTAATTAATTAAAATATAATAAGTTAAAAGCTAAAATATATAAATTTAAAATAAAATAATTTAATAAAAACTATATTTATATAAAATCAAATTGATTTAATTTGATTAATAAAAAATTAAAATCAATAAGTTTTTGAAACAAATTAATTTCCAAAAATAAATCAAATCAATTTTAATTTTAGTTAAAACTGTTTAAAATTAAACTATTGTAATTCTTAAATATAATTATAAACTTAGAAAGTTTTAAAATTACTTATAAATAAATTGATATAATAAAAAATATTAATATAATTATTTTTTTCATATATTGTATTTAATAATAATATTTTCAATACAAATTATCATAATTACAAAAAGCTATTAGAAAGTTCTTAAATACAACTATAAATATATTGTAAATATAATAGATTATAATTTAATTAAGTTATATAGATTATTATAAAATAATTGATTTTTGTTTTAATATTAAATAAATTAATTTAATAATAATCAAGATTTTTTAATATATATAATAAAAAAACTTTAAAAAAGATTGAAACAAATTAATAACTGTTAAATCAAACTTAATATAGATAAAATTTATTATATCAATATAAATAATTGAATATGTTCTTGTTTTACATATTTATATAATTGTTATTTTATTTGTCAATACCTTGTAACAAAAAATAATAATATCAATTTTTAATATATATTTGTAAAAACAATATATTAATATAATTATTTCTTTTTTATCTTGAAAAATAAAACTATCAACAATTAATTTTCCTGGTTTAAATATGAAATAATTACAAAAGATAAAAAAGATAAGTCTTTTGATAAACATTGCAAAATTTATTGATAACAATAGAAAATAATATAAAAAAGAAGTAAAAAAAACTAGTTAAATCTAAAAAAGTAATAAATTTTGCATTAATATTATATGAATAAGAGATAAATAAAAACAAGTTTATAGATATCTTCGATAACTTGATGAAACCAATATTAATGAAAATCAGATAGAAAGCTTACATTACTAGTACTTTTTTTGCACGTACTTGGCTGAAATGGCCCTGTCATAGTTATCCCCTGTCGGTTTATTTAGTCATTTCAATAAGGTAATAATCAAGCATAATTTTCAAAGATAGAAGATTGTTGTTTAGACAAACGTTCAAAGTGGGATGATATCATCATTTCTTGTTCCGAAAAGTGAAGATATAAGTGATTAGAAATGTTAATAAAACAATAAAGTTTGTAGATGGCATACGAAATAAGGAGCTTCGTTTATCCTCTGCTAAGCCACCAGAGTCCGGCAGAAACCTAAAGACTACACCCTGACAAAAAGAGTAACTACATTTTTCAGAATGTTTGTAATCATGATCAGTGATCTCAATCACGTCTCTAGGAAATACCGATTTAATCCTACCTTTTGAGCAAACAGAATTGCTCTCAGACTAAGATGCACTACCACACCAACTAAGAGAAGATTTATCTTTCTTTTTGACATGACTTAAATTGTGCGAGAACTTATTCCCCATGCCACGCTACCAACTGCATAAATCATCTCATTCACATACCTTTATTCGTAATTTTTCGTCTTTAAGTTCTGTAAATAAAAAAAGACAAAGTTATTAACTTATATACAGATTATCATGCAATAAAAAATACAAAATTTTTATACTTACAACTTCAAACATCAAATTCATAAATTGAATAAACCTACGGACTTGCACCTTTCTGTCCTTACTGATTCCCAGAACTTTGTTATATACTCATCATCATTCATTGCTAGTTCTAATATCTTTTTCTTACTTCCGTTCTCAGTCTCTTCTAACTCTTCAAGTGTATTAAGTAGAACTGCGTCATTTTTCCAAAATTCGGGTTGCCAAGTCTTCTTTTTTGTGGCGCGTTAAGATTCTCTTTATCATCGAGTACTTCATCTAACTCCCTTTTTTGCAAAGCTTTATTAACCCATCGTCTAACTATTTCTTTATCAATATTTTCCTTATTAGAAATTGCTTCTTCGTAATTCCCGCCTAATGTCAATTAAAAAATCAGTTTAAAAGTCGAATTGTTCTCATAATCAATTTCATGATCAACTCACCAAGATAAACGATGACTTAGAAACATCTTGGAGCGAATGATCGCACTACCGTCCCTTTCCGTTAACCACAATTCCATGGGCAACCTTGTTCCTTACGTTCTTTTTAAAATTCATTAATAATTCAGCGGGGTTCGCCTTATATTTAACATTAAATAAAGACTTTTTTGAGAAAATTTTAATATTTTCTATTATGAAGTTTAACATGCATAAAAGATCCGCGTTTCTAAAATCTTTGCTAATAGGAGGACGTTGTTTAGCCACGAATTTTTCTACGATTTCTGAAGGAATTACAGATTCATTTTTGACAAGAAATTCGTAGACTGTTTCCTCTGCGGAGTTAATAAAAAGTTCGACGATCGCTCCTTGTTCATTCTCATTAAAAGAAAAAGTTTGTTTAATTGGCGGTGAAGATGCACGAGTGGTTGTAATATTGTAGTTTCAGAGGGTCCATACATGGTGGATGATTGCAAACACGACTTATTAAAAACTATAGTCCGTTTGGACTGTCTCGAGGAGGTAGAAGTTGAAGACGACTTTACTTCATCACAACGTATTATGGGCTTGACATATTTGACGGAAGTTCGTGTCATGATATATGATGTCATGGAGCGAGTCACGGAGTGACCTGCTGAGGTGCATTATTGACACTTTACTAGACTTCATGTTAGATAAATTTACTGATGACAAATTTTAGCAATTCTTTAACGTGTATGTATCGGGAAATTTTATTTTATTATTTCACTATATTAAATACATCGATAAAAATAAATAATTAAAAAAGCTAATCAAAACCTAAGACAAAAAATTTAGAAAAAGTTAATAACGTGCATTATTAAGCAAGCTTAAGACAAAAAATCGAAATTTAGTTTCTCAAGTTAAATAAGAACCAGCTCAAACCAAAACCTAAGCCTCGTATGAAGCCTCTCATGAGATCGCAACAGGGACCCCAGATTCTGCTGATACAACTTACACACATTGTAATACGTATAGTAGGATATCACTGTGTCATTCAGAGATCCCCCCTTCACCATAGCTTAAACACATAGAACTTTGAATAGTATACTATCTCGGTCTATCCAATTTAGCTCAACCTATTCTCAGTAATCTGTAATCTATGCATAATAAGAATGGCGAAGGATACTGGAGATACAACGTTCTACAGTGTCCTACACGCATACCGTGGGTGATAGGAAGATAGCTTACTACCGTTGTTCCCTCGAATACAGTTACATGACTCGGAAATGGGAGTCTCAGATTCCCAGTTCGGCAATAAAAATAGATAGTCAAAATCTTGCTTTGACCTGCCTTCTTTATTACCTATTAACTTGAAAAACTGTTTATCATTAAACTTACACTTGCTTGTTTCTCGAGTGCTCTTGTAGATTTCGTCAGAGTTATAAAGACCTCATATACCCGTCGTGTGTTATTAGAAAGTTATGGTTGTAAAGTATTAAAGAAAAGTTGTGAGGTATTTAAGGAAGGTTATGAAGTTTTTGAGGTATTTAAGGAAGGTTGTGATGTTTTTGAAGTATTTAAGAAAGGTTGCGGAAGTAAGTGTGAAAAAATTTTTTACGAACCAAAGCATTTATATATCTAATAAAAGTTCTCATGAAAAAAATTTCCATGATATTCTATTGATTACATAGATTGTGCGTAAGATCTAAATATAAAAGGGACGTGTTATAATCTGAAAAAATACGCGTGGTTAAAATTACGTCATTTTAATATAATCCTTATTTATTGTCAAAGGACATGAAAATCCGTCCACACGTGTAACACATGATTTATTTCGGAATACACTTTCGTTAATAAAAAAACCTTTGATAATATTATTAATCAATATATAATGGATTTGTTTGAAAAAAAGAACAAGGTAAAGCATTACTAAATACTAGATAACGGGAACCGTTGAATTGTCTGAAGAGTGCAATCTCAAAAGTTCAGGTCACATAATATGCACTACCGTTGCGACTTTCAGGTTATTCATCATATGCACTACTACTGTTGCAGCTTTTGGGTCATTTATCATATGCGCCACTATTGCAAAAAAATATTTCAGGCACTATAATCCACCACATATCATGTGACCCAAACTTTTGGAGTCACCCTAATAGAGTCATACGAAGTATAATATATCACAAAAATATATACAGAAATTAAACGCTTTTCTTTAGCTATTCTTTCTTTTAACCTCTTACAAATTTTAATATGCTGAAGTCTTTCAAGAGAAAACAGACTAAAAAGAATATCTCTAAGAGTACAAACTCAAGACATTGCTACAAATAAAAGACCAGCAACAAACTCTTTTTTCCCAATATCTATTATAACCTTTTCAAGTGTTAAGCCTTGACTTTTATGAATCGTAGTTGCCCATGCAAGGCAAACAGGAATTTGTAAGCATGAGCAAGAATCTTTTTTTCCTTTCCAATTATGCTTAATCAGTAAAATTGGAACAAGTCTTTTATTATTATTTAATATAGCAGAATTTGAATAATTGTCGAATTTTACCATTACTACAATAGGAAGAGAAGATGGACTCTAATTTTCTTCAAAATATATTTCTATAACAGTATCTATGGAACTATTAACTAAATCAACTTCAGTCTATAAATTTGTTCTGAGCATAACTCTTGAGCCTCTAATTAATAACAAACAAGATTCAAGACCTTTCGTCACATCAGAATCTGTTCTATAAGATTCAGAGCCATTCGTATGAACTGTGTTAATCTTGACAATAGGCAAATTCAAGGATCTAAGTTTATTAATGTTAAATTTAGCAACATCCAATCTACAAGACATAATACATGTAGCATTAAAAAATCGGGCATGATTTGAAGATAATAATATGTTTGGTACATCAGAAAATCGTGTAACAAGTAATCTCCAGTCATCCTCAGTTGATTTACCATTACGCAAGCACAATAGAAGATCTCTAAAATTGTGTTACTCATTTGAATCATCAGATTGATATTGAACAACATTCAGTTAATAGCTCTCACGAAACTGTTAATAAATTGCAATAGCATCAGTGAATAAGGAATCTCTATAAGGAATTTGAGAGTACATTGGTTCATCAAGTATTGGGGATTATTGACCAAAATTCTCAACAAGAATAAACGATCGTCCACCAAATACTTGATTTCCATATCTAGGAAAGGCCTAACACAAATGTAAATATATTAATGCAAGCATGCGACGTCTGACCATACTTATTTTGTTAATAATAAAATAATAAACTCCATTTAATTTATTTTGCAGTTTTTTCAAACTCTGGCCATTCAAATCGAAGGTTTTGTTTGAAATCGGAATAAATAAAGATAAATAAATAGTCGTACCATGAATGTTAAATGCAGCAACATCTGTTGGAGCAAGTAACATTAAAGATAAAATATCAATACAATAATCCCAAGCAATTTTATCAAGTTGATCTTGAATCATTTTAATCAAAAATGATTTTCCAGTATCAGCAGTACCTAATATGATAAACTTGAACAGATCAACATTTTTCGGATTAGTAAGTAAAGTAAAGTAGTAAGACTCAATTTGATTGAAAACCATCCTCTAATTTTGATTCAAAGATTAGGTATCTACTATACGATTTGGTAAGGTATCAACAAACTTGACAGATTCGCAAGCTTGTTGCAGAAAGATAGAAATGACAGTAAAATCAAGATTAGAGCAACAGATTTTAAGGTCACCAAACCATCATAATTTTGGTCAATATTGCGGAAACCTAAATCAAAAGAAATTTTAATTTCTTCATCTGGTTGCATTTCTGAAAAGACCATCCAATTGGATTGTAAATTACATTCGATATTGTCCTGTTTTTCATAATCTTGATCACTTTCATTATTAATATTAATATTATTTTCTAGATTATCTACTGGTGAACCAAGCAAATCTGAAGGAGCATTTTCAATTATTTCATGATATTGTTTAAAAATATTTGATCAGATAATACTATTATTCTTAGTTAATGCATCAAGATTACAATGACTAACATAAAGAAAAACTTTAATCCAACAAAAATCTTCTCATTGAGAGCCATCATGAAGATTTGAAGAATGTGACTAAACATATATAATGTTTTTACGATTATACAATTTCTATTTACTTTTATAATATTGGTATTTCATTGATCAGGACAATTCCAATATTTTTGCAAAGAAAATTGCACAGTCAAACCAACTTCCTCACCAGACGAAACAATAGAAGTATCAGAACCACAAAGCCAACAAGGAGCATCTTTATTAAGATTCAAAGAAACAAACTGACGACTGGAGCAATAAAGTGGTAGACCAAGAAGCAAATGACACGTTTCCTGGGCAGATATATCATGCTTCACGACAGTATGAAGCAGTAGATCTTGAATGGCTCCAAGTGATGATTCACATGGATTACTATTATTAAGAATTCTAGATAATATTTCAGAGAATAATGCAGAACAAGATTCTGATTGGCTCATATACTTGAAAATATATTGTAAAGCAATATCTATGATAAATATTGGTTTTAAATCAATATTGGCATGCCATCCTTGAAGCTGTAAGTGATTATGAGGATTAACAAGTGGATCATTTCTCATAGTTAATAGTTCAAGTTGACTATTATTATTTTGCAAATATATGTTTTTAATGAGATCTTTTGAATAGCCAAATCTGCAATACTAATGGCCTGCATGATTAACACGAGAACAATAAGAATTACACTTTGTATGATGTTAAAGCTTGTTAACTAAATCGATATAATCTTGTAAACCATAATCCAATTTATCGAAACATTTCTGACATGGATGACAATATGGAAATAGTGCATTAAGACCAAGATTAATAGTAGTGACTAAAAAGCCTAGATATTGTATGACATCATTCATAATTTTTTCATCTTCTTTCATTTTGTTCCAATCAATAACAGGAGCATCTTTTTGTTTAGCAATGTTATACATGTGAGGGCTCCCATGATGCTGCCATTCGAAATGGTATCACCAGTAAGAATGGGTCCCTAAACTATTTAGCATATAAAATTTCACAGATCAATTATGTCCCTTTTGAAGGGACATAATTATTTATTCATTATTTTAATAGGAACATAATTCAAAAAACACTTGAATCAAGTGTCCTAAATTGCAAAAAACCTTTGTAGGTAGTTTTTTTTTGACCTTATATTTAAAAAAAATTTTTATTAATAGTGAGGAACATTTGAATTATATCCTTGTCTTTAATTTAGGGACCCATCTTTAATCACCAGTTCTCAAGATTCCACTTTGGTACCAATACCTTTTCGAAAAACAACTTAAACCATCTTTCAAAAAACCAAGCGGTAATATGAGAGTTATTGATCAAGTCTTGTCGCTTATATATTGCTGTGTTCTGTTCAGATAATTCATCCAAAGAATTCACATGAGGCATTAAGTTGTGCAGATCTGGTCAATGAAAGTCGGTAGTATTGAAAGTAAAGAATATTAATTCCTGTAACCCCAATTGTTTAATCATATCCGACAGTAGTGATCTTAGTTGGCAAAAATTTTTCTAATCGATTAGTTGTTTTTAATATAATCAACTAGTTGCAACTAAAAATCCTGAATTCTGATTGGTTAATTTTGAACTTTCCAACTAACGATTTGT